TCCCTTGACCAATCAACTGGTTGAATGCAGAAAAGAATAATAAATAATAAAATAGTATAAATCTTTAAAAGATTTATATAAGCTTTGAATATATTTAAGGGTATTCGCTCCTTAAGAGTAGCGCCATGATGCAAGAAATGTCGCCCCAAATCTGTGTTGATCCGGGCCTTACCGGAAAGGCCCGGATGGCGCCTGTGCTAACTGAGCTTGGGGTGATGAGCTGTAGCCATAAATTCTTATATGAACCCCTGAAACGAGTAAAGACCGCTGGAGCCTTTGCGCAGTACAGAAACCCAAACGAGAGCTTAAAACTACCTTGGGAGACTGGAGCCATGGGCAGTGTGTTTAAACCTTCTGTTAGTCCAGTGCTGCCTGGTGCAAATGCTCTAGTGGAGAACTCAGAAGTACGTGGCTCGGCAGTTGACAGAGTTGAGCAAACCTCGAGTGTGGACCTGAGTGTTCGGCTTGATGCATGCTACATGGAAGCCATCACTTGTACACAAGACTTGGACTACTTCACAAGCAAACGCATTGCTACAGAGAAAGCCTGTGGAATTTGGTTGGATTTGATCGCCTGTAATTGGACTGCAACGAAAGTTGGAGCCCAGATCTGCAGTGATCTTCGTGGGGACCCCAGTGGTGAGAGTGCGATTGAAACATTGAAGGCATGCTTTGGCACCAAGAGCCCGAACACTTTGTTGAAGCGTGCTTCGTCGTTGAAGAGGTTCTTCAAGTGGCATTCCGGGCATTGTAGAGAAAGAGACGTTCATGTTGAGCCAATTCCCCTGGTTGAAGAAGATGTTTGGAAATACTTTCACTATTTGAGAGCTGACCGTGTAGCAGAAGGCCGAGGTTACACTACGCCTGGATCTTTCCTTGAAACAGTGAGGTTCACCAAATTCACGGTTGGGTTGAAAGGTTCTGAAGATGTCCTGGAGTCAGGGAGGCTGATTGGCTTTGCAGCTCTTGAACGACGTGAGAAAGGACCAACCCGCCAGGCACCTCCAATGGAAGTTGAGCATCTTCGTAGGCTACATGACATTTTAGCAAGTGATGCGAATCTGACTGACAGGCTAGGTGCTGGCACTTTCCTTGTTTGCATTTATGCTAGAGCCCGTTGGTCAGACATCCGCTTCATTCACCACGTTGAGATTGAGGCCAAGCGAAACGGCTGTTTTGTCATTTATACAACTGAGCACAAGACTTCGCAAGTTGGCTTGAGACGAGAGCAGTACTTACCGCTGGTGGTGCCATGGGATGGTGTGGTACATATGGATTGGTTGAAAAGTTACTTTGAGCTTTACAAGCAAGCAGGCCTCAATATCAGCAATGTGCCTTTAGGTCCTTTGTTACCTGCACCGAAGATTGGAGGAGGATTTGGAGCAAGGCCATTGAGTACACCGGAGGCCTCAGCCTGGCTCAAACTCTTGCTTAGAGGCACGACAAACTCGGAGACTTTCCGCTCGCATTCATTGAAAGGAACCTTGTTGAGCTGGTGCGCACGCTCGGGTATGGATCGTGAAGTCAGGGCTGTGCTAGGACACCATTGTTCGTCCTTGACCGGGAGCGATGTCGTTTATGCCAGAGAGCTTCAGACAAGGCCCATTCGGAAACTGCAAATGCTGTTAAAGAACATCCGTCTTGGAATGAGTTTTGAGGACATCGCAGAGCATGGCACATTGATTTCGACCGCACCGTGTGTTCTGCCACCGAGGCCCTGTGCTTATACCCCGCCTTTGTTGCAAGGACCTCCTGTTCACGAGAAAGAAGCTTTGTCAGCTCGTGTCGACGAAGTCGATGGGGCTGCTGAGATTATGAACCTCAAGGAGGACCTGAGGAGTGTGAAAGAAGAACATGATCTTGAGAGACAAAGTTTGTCACTGGCTGAACAGCTAAGTCTTTTCCCATTAGGTGTAGTCAATGGAGGCCTCATTGAAATTGAGTCTTCGAGCGGCAGTGATTCAGAGTCGAGCTCTGACGCAAGCGATGAAGAGCCTGGAGCACGAAGTCGCGAGCCAGAGAGCTATGCTGAGCGAGTGCCAAATGGGCAGACCTATATGCGAAACACCAACAGCGGCCTGGTGCACAGCGCTAAGACTTCAGGAGAGTTCACAAAGTGTGGCATCAAGGTTGCAGGGCATTTTGCTGTGCTAGAAAAGTTCATCCATGTCAAGATGCCGAAGAGCCTGAATTGTTTCCCAAAGGATCCCGACCGGATTCGCAAGCTAGATGACCTGGTAACACACTTGGACTTGGCCGTTAAGCGGGCAAGGGACAAGAACAAAGAGTAGGCGTTCCGCCTTGAGAGAAAAGTTGCGGAGAGCCGTATCAAGTTCCGTGACGGTCACCATTTTGGAAGCTTGGGTCCGCGCGCGCGCGCGCGCCCTTTTGGGCTCCAAACGGCTGTCGGAGGCGCGCGCGCGGGGACCCAAAGGCACAAAACGGTGACCTTGCGGAATCTTTAGAGAGCCGCGAGTCAGAGCATTGCTCTGGAAGAGTCTTGTTTGAAAGGAGAGATGAGCGTTGCTCATGTGCAAGCTGCAACAAGTTTTTCTTAAGAGCGAAGGCTCAAGGGAACAGAGTGTGCCATTGGCACTTAAGCGGAAGCGAATGCTTCGCAAAGGAACACGAGCATATCTTTGATATGAGACGTACAAAAGAAAACGCAAACGCTAAACCAACGTTGTGTCTGAAACGTGTAAACTCACTTGCTCAGTGAATCCAGGCCAACATGTTCTCACCTTAACGTGGAACTAGGTTTCTTCTTCTTGTTCACTTGTTTTGTGTAGTTTCTTTGCTGTGAGCGCAATCGCGAATCTGATAGATAGTGAGGCCCACTTCCAATCCAGGGCACTGGAGGTGGGAATGTCTGACGGTGTGCGACAGGCTCTTCGAGATGGTGGCATTCGGACCATGAGCCATCTGGCGTTTGCAATCGGCCAGCCAAACCAGCCACTTACAAATGATGAAGTAGGAGCTTTTCTGAGAACCCTCCTATCGAGGGAGGCAACCTTGCAGGAAGTAGCGTTGATCAAGAGAATCACGTTCGAAGCTCAGACTTACTTAGTCGCTTTTTTACGCCAAGGAGTAGAGCAGCAAGATGACACACTACCAAAGAAGATTCCTTTCGCTGAGCGACAGACACGCATGGATGCTTTGAAGACCCGTTTGACAGGTGTGGCCATTAAGGGCGAACTTGAGCCCGCCCATGTTGTTTTGGAGCGAGCTTGTCAGATGTATGACCAAAACATCATAAAGTTTTTGGAGCCTTCTGTTTGCATTGTATAGTCGCACATATGAGATCCAAGGAAGCAAACAAACGAGAGAGTTAGCCTTTGAGAAAGGAACAATTGTTTTGAAAAACCAGGGTGAAAAGCTTAGCACCGTGACAGACAGCGAGTTGAAACTCCACTTTGCTTTCACTCGCCGTGCAATCGCTCTGGAGTTCGCCAGGATCATGAGTTTTGATCAGCGCAATGAGTGGGAGACCTTTTTAGTAGAAGCATTGCATCGTGAGAGTCCACCGGGATACAACAAGCCATCCCTGGCCCAGGTCATTCAATGTGACAGAGCAGCCTGGGCGAGACTCGCAAGTACCGTGCACTCGGTCAAGCAGTTGATCGACGGTAGATATCCTGTGGGCGAGGCCCTTTTAGTTCGAGCCGACCCGAACATCACGCTCTACCTGGCACCAGTTGCCAAGCCTGTGCAGATTGAGAGACCGAGAGATTTTCCAAGGCCAGGACCCTATGGTCAACAGTCCGAAAAAGGCAAAGGCAAGAAAGGTAAAGAGAGAGGAAAAGGTAAAGGAAAAGGTGGTGCTCCGCCAATGCCTCGTCAGCTGATCGGCAAGTGGCGCAAAACGCCACAGGGTGAGCCCTTGTGCTTCGCATACAACACAGTCGATGGATGCCCAAATTCGACTACCGTGAAGCCTGGGGAGCGATGTTCCCGTGGATGGCATTTGTGCATGGAACCCAAGTGTCAGGCAAAGCACAGCCTGACTGAGCACAAACATTGACATCAGCCTTCGCAAAGTGAATTCAGGTCTTGGCCTTCAATGCATGTCGAGCAGACTTTCATGATTGAAGTGTTTTGCGGTTGTGCGATCCTTTGTGCCACGGCTAAACAGCATGGCCTAGCTGGATCGATCGCAGTTGATAAAGAGAAGAAGAAAGGTGCTCGTAGTTCTGTGTTCCAGCTCGACCTCAGGAACTCTGAAGATCGCTTGTTGCTGGAGCACTGGATGGATTCGCCCCCTTTGCTGTGGATGCATTTTGCACCTGTTTGTGGAACGGCCTCAAGGGCCCGAGAGATTAGAGTGCATTGGTCAGATCCGAGACCACTGCGCAGCAATGAATTTCCGCATGGGCTGCCAAGCCTATCCGGGAATGACAAGCAACGTGTTCTCATCGCAAATGACCTCTTTGAATACACTTGCAAGCTTTTCAAGAAAGCGGTACAAGCGGGCATCTTAGCAACAGTTGAGAACCCAAAGAATTCATACTTTTGGGTCACGGATTGGTTCTTGCACCTGATGAAAACCTGCAGGTTGTTTGTGACTTCCACGTTTGCATGCTCGGCGGCACTCGAAACAAGTGGACCCGCGTTGTGGCGAATTTCCAAGAAATTCAGCAGCTCTCCATAGAGTGTGACAAGTCCCATGATCATGAGCCTTGGCGCTTCGCCCAAGATTCAGACGGAAAGCGAGTCTGGGCCACAAGCCTAGAATCAGCATACCCCCGAAAGATGTGTATTGCTCTTGTGCAATCTGTACTTCAAGTTGCCCATTCGTTCGGCTTGATCCTGCAGCCGCAATCCATGAGAGATATTCATCTTCACCCCCTGCTGAAAGCCCAGGCTGCCCAGGTGTCCAGCGGCCTTCAACCCCGACGAAAGGTGCCACCATTGGTGCCTGAGTTTACTGCTACTGCTTCTTTTCATGCCGACAATTTGTCGCAGATTCCATGTTCCTTGATGCAAAAACTCCCCAAGAGCATCACCTTGCGCACCTTCAATGGACAGGCTGTGAACATTCCGGCTGCTTCGCGTTTTCTTCGTTTTGCTCAATTCCTCCCGCACCAACAAGGGGGGGTTGAAAGCAGTGCGGAGGAAGTTGGTTTGAGTGATGTTTTAGGAGCAGGTCCGAGTGAGCTTGACCCTCAACCCCAAGGGTACAAAGTTGTTTTTGGCCTGCCGTGGAGTTATGAAACATTCATTCAGCAAGCGTGTAAAGCTGGTCACCCCCTTCTGGGTGATCATCAAGTTCCACCAGACTTGAAACTTGCACTTGACAAGAACTTGGAATGGAATGACCACCAAATGAGTTCTTACAGAGCAGATTGGTGCAAACGTTGGTTGAAAAAGGCAGTTGAAATGAAGGATGCAGAAAGACTGGATGCCGACACGCGACCTGCACATGTTCGAGCAAACACCAAAGATAAAAAGGTCCTGTTAACAGAACAGGTTCTTGCGGAGCTGGGCTATGAAGATGTCCCGGTCCTGCAGATGCTAAGAGAAGGCGCGACTCTTGCTGGTGACGTCGAGGAATCCTCGGTTTTTCAAAACAGTACAAGCCTTGCATGCAGACGATGGATCAGCTGCACAAAGGCGCGACCCCTAAGAATGCGGCCATCCTGAACATGACCAGGAGTTCGGGTGACCGAGCTTTTGACGAGCAACTTCTGGTAGAGACCCGAGAAGAGATTAGGAAAGGGTGGGCAAGAGGCCCGTTCAAACTGGAGGAGCTCGAGAAGGATGCCGTTGTTTCCAGAAGGTTTCTGCTGCAGCAAGGCAGCAAGGCTCGAGTGATCGACGACTATTCTGTCAGCGGAATCAACGATACTTGTGCGGCCCACAACAAAGTGGATCTGCATATGATTGACACGCTGGCGGCCTTGGCAAACCAATATTTCAGGTACTGTGTGGAGAGACAGCTTGACAGTTCCTTGGTTGCCAAGACATATGATCTAAAGAGCGCCTACCGACAGATTCCCATCCGGGAGTCCCATCTCAAGTATGCATACTTCAGCATCTTCAACCATGAAACGGAGCAGGCTGAAGTGTATCAGATGCAGACCCTGCCTTTTGGGGCTACTCATAGTGTATACTGTTTTCTGCGGTTTGCGAAAATGCTTCATTTCATCGCTGCGAGAGGATTGTTTGTAATGAACACCAACTTCTATGACGATTTTGTCCTTGTTTCTAGGGCCGAGACTCAGGACAGTGCAAAGCACGCCATGGAGCTGGTTTTCTTGCTAACAGGTTGGGAGTTCGCCCGGGAAGTGAAAAGAAAACGGAGTTCTCCACTCTGTGCCGTGCCCTCGGTGTTGTGTTTGATTTTTCCTTGTCCTCGGAGCGAAAGTTGATGATCGAGAACACTGAGCAACGAAAGCTGGAGCTGAAAGAATTGTTGCAAGCTGCCTTGGACCGAGGCACGTTGACGCGTCCCGAAGCTTTGGTGCTTAGAGGTAAACTAGGATTTGCAGACAGCTTCGTGCACGGTCGCTTAGGGATCTTAGTGCTAAGTAAGCTAATCGAACATGCCTACGGGGCCCAAAAGCAAATCGATGAGAGCTTGCGAGATGCCCTTCGTTTCATGCTTGAACGTTTGAACTCAGGCAAACCACGAGTGGTTCGTGCTCACAGGCTTGCGCAATGGTATATCTACTCCGATGCTTCATATGAGCAGGGCAACAAAACAGGGGGCATTGGAGGTGTTCTTGTCAATGAACAAGGTGAGTGTGTCTCTTGGTTTGGGTTCAGTGTTGACTCTAAGTCTAAGACTTGGCTAGAGCTTGGTGCCTCCGCCAAAGACACCATCATTTATGAACTAGAGTTGTTTGCCGGAGTCCTTGCGTTAAAATTTTGGAACAGCAAAATCTCGTGTGGCCTTCAAGTATGGTTCGGTGACAATGAAGCCGTCAGGTTCTCCCTGATAAAAGGTTCTGCCGAAGGTGACGTTGCGCAGACCTTGATGCGCATCCATCTAGAGCATGAAGCCTTAAACAGTTCTCAGGCTTGGTTCGCTCGTGTGCCTACTGAAGCCAACATAAGTGACTTCCCTTCCAGAGGAGAAGCGCATCCCATGCTCAAACCCAAATTGTCCGAGAGCCTGCCAGCCAAAGATTCCTTCGATGACATCATGCAGTGTTTGCGATATCTTGGTGTGCTTGCGTTTGAAGGGGGACAGGCCGTGCACCGCACCCCAATGTCTCGTAAGAGAAAAAGGGGGCGCTCATGTCTTGCTTTGTGAAATCAAACGTTGAATTGACAATGAAGCTCACCGTAGTGGATCGAGTTGTCACTTCTAGTTTTAGGGTGGAAGCGCCCGGATTTCACATTTGCTTTCGCTTTGCGCTGGTTCAAGTGGTGGGTGGGTGGGCGCGCCGATTCGTTTGCCCAAAAGCGCCCACCCACCCACACCTTGGCTACTCCTCGCTTCTGAGCATTCAGGCTCTTTCGTTCGAAAGCAGTGCGATCCAAGCGCACATTCCAAGCAAGCAGTTCGTCACAAGTTTCACAGAGCCAGACCCAGTGGCCTACAGGCCGTGCACCGCACCCCAATGTCTCGTAAGAGAAAAAAGGAGCGCTGATGTCTTGCTTTGTGAAATCAAACGTTGAATTGACGATGTAAACATGCCAGAAACTACTGGTGTATTGGTGGTTTGTTCTATTTGACTCAGGGTGACTTAGGGTGGTTTTTGCAGGCCGTTCCCGGTGAATGTTTATTCTTTCCGAACACAGTCGCAATATACGTCATGGACACTACGAAGACGGGGAACACTCATAACCTTTTACATCGTACAGTAACAAGATCTGAATTACAATCTCCGCCTTCTCTAGTTTGCCCCGCTCCGAGTGTCGGATGTGTGTAAGCACATGTATGACCTTCACAGCCTATGCTGTTGTCTCTAACATATTGGATTCTTGACAACATTGGATTCCTAAGAGCACAAGCATTTGTGAGTTACACATGCTGCCTGAAGACTCGTGAGTACCTATACAGCTGCAACAGGGTGAACTCGCTGGCCTCCTTCAAGGCAGAGACAGGTTGCCGATCATGAGATTTTGGGCACCTACTACAGTGTGGAAAGAGAACATCAGGATAAGGCCACATCAGGGGCTTCCAGACTTGCTCTCACACCAGAACAAACAGTTGTTCCTTCGCAAGACACAACCTTTTGAAACGGTTGAATGGAGACACCAAGATTCATATTTCCACTCCTTAGGAACTTTAAGAGATCAAGAGTCTGGCCATAGAATGTGTAGAATTACTTAGCCATGGCAATGGCCGAGAATGTGGACCAAGCGAAACATGTCCAGGAAGCACTGAGATACTTGGATCAGAAGGATGTTAAGAAGCTCCTGCGCGACCTCACTGAATCTGTCTTGCTCCGGCAACCAGAAAACCCGAAGTTCCATATGCTCGAGGAGCTATGGGAGAGCACGGGCAGATGTTGGACACCTTCGGCAGACAGAAGTGTTCTTTGTAGCTTTCTTCAACAGAAGTTTCCTTCTCCCCGCGAAGCCGTCTATGATTTGGTTCGACGAGCAGCTGCAACGGTAGGTGCCAGACGAGTTTCGTTCTTCTCAGCACCAAATGGCCGAGGGCGCCAGGTGGTTGGATGTGGAGAGGCTGAAAGGTTCTCTGGGATGGACTTCTTGTTGGTGGATAGCAGCGATCAGGAGCTGGTGATTGGGGAACCAGGCAGGGGAATTAGTTTTGTGTCCATTCTCAATCCAGCCGATGTGTAATCCAGTGAGCGTAAGTTGAACTCTGTGATTTTGTGATTTTCGTAGGTGATGCATCATTGCGGCCATGCCACAAGCTCAAATGTTTTGGGCGGATTCAGCTAAGCCTGAGCAAAAATTCATTCAATTGGATCTCTTTTAGTTTTCCACTCTGACTGTGGAGAATGGATGCATTGGCAGAAATTGTGCAGTGAACCCACCTATCTCCATCTCACCCTTGTCTTCGGATTCACATGAAGTCCATGAAACTAGGCCTTGACTTGGCCCTGGAGTCGGGGAGTGCAACAACAGAGGATGCCGTCCAGAGCCTAGAGGACCCAGATGCAGTCCAACAGAGATGGAATTTTTGAACAAAGGAGGAAGTCCTTCTGTTTCTTTTTGACATTTTTACTTTTAATAGAAATCTCTTGCTGTCAGTGATCTTCCCAATACTTTGACTTTAACTTTAGAGATAGCGGTGGATTGTCCGGGTGATGCTTGTTCTTTAGCAAAGCTGAAGCTCTGTCATCGCACCAATCAGGTCGCTTGTTTGATCAGAAGCTCCGAAGGCCATACCTGAAGTTGCCGTTTGTGCTTTTGTAAGAGCACCGTTCCGAAGAGTGGTAAGCTGAAACACAGCAAGTGAAGCAAATTGCCCCAAACTTTACCTGTTTGCAGCGGCTCCAGCAAGTTGAACATGACATCTTGGACTGGAAGACAGCATTTCAAGTTTCAGCTGTTCAAAATTGTGTGCCATGTTTCATCGATAGCAATCCAACAATCCAAGTTCAAGCAAGTTTGGCATCCTTTTTTGCCCCGCATTCGGGGGTAGGGGTCAACCAGGTCGCTTTCCGTGTTGCTAGATCAGCTTGACCTGCATTTGGCAGAGATTTTCCGCTAGCCGATCCTGCAATGACGTCAGAAGCTCGTTTGCATCAAGCTGGGAACATGCGTAACTGGTTGAGGTCCGTCAGGAACCAACTCGTGGGAACATGATCTTGGGACAGCCACAAGGATGGCAGGTTTGACTTTGAACAAGGCCTTGGGATCAAAGGCTTTAAGTCCAGACAATCATATTGTCATATAGTTCTTTGACAGTTCACTGTGGCAAGCACTGTGCGTGAATCCAATGGCCAGCATGTGCGGATTCCAGATACCGGATATGATGTGATATAAATGAATTCTCCATACATTTGTTGCCCTTTCCAGCTCTGGGCCTATATCGGTTCTTCTTGTGTCAAAGTCATGCACGTGTTGGTCTGAATCAGCCCAGGTCCAGGAGAAATTGCTAGAGCACTTGCGAACCTGTTCCAAGGTGCTTGTAGTCGACCATGTTTGTTGCTGGAAGCAGATTTTAACGTGACTTCAGAGTGTTCTTGCTGTGGTTGTTCCTTTTATATCATAGCTTACAACATTTTGCAGGGCGCGCCGCCCGCGGACAAGAGAGAGAAGTCATTACCACAGGATGGACGCCTTTGGCACTTTGTTGGCTTTGTTCGTGAAAACTGAATAAACACAAGAAAGACATGTTTTTCCCGAAAGCATTGCGAAGGGTTCTTCGGGAAAATCCTTAGAACACTGACACTTCGACACGTACACTTACACACTGACACTTCCACCACACTTGCACTACAACATGAACGCTATACGTACCCCAGTGTAAGTGGAAGAGCGAAAGCATCCAAGTGCAAAGTTTGCAAGTGTGAAAGTATGCAAGTGTAAGTATGTCAGTATGTATGTGTAATGATGCAAGTGCAATGATGAGTATGCAAGCATGCAATGAGTAGGCAAGCATGTAATGAGTATGCAAGCATGCAATGAGTAGGCAAAGCATGTAAAAGCATGTAATGAGTATGCAAGCATGCAATGAGTAGGCAAGTGTGAGCATGGAAAACTAGCACGGGAGATGTCCTAATGAAAAAACATGTCCCCACTTTATAAATTCTCTCTTAAAGGCGGAGGGTGGGACGAACAGCGTCAACCGAAAGTGCAACCCTCTGCGGAGATCGTGCGTGTCCAGTGCGCGAAATGCAGGCGAGAGTGCGATTCGTCCGGTGCGCGCGCAACCCTCTGCGGAGATCGTGCGTGTCGAGTGCGCGAAACGCAGGCGAGAGTGCGATGCGCCGGATCCGCGCGCAACCCTCTGCGGAGATCGTGCGTGTCGAGTGCGCGCAATGCAGGCGAGAGTGCGATTCGTCCGGTGCGCGCGCAACCCTCTGCGTGTCGAGTGCGCGAAGTGCAGGCGAGAGTGCGATTCGTCCGGTGCGCGCGCAACCCTCTGCGGAGATCGTGTGTGTTGAGTGCGCGAAATGCAGGCGAGAGCGCGCTTTGTGAAATTACCGCGCAACCCTCTGCGGAGATCGTGCGTGTCGAGTGCGCGAAATGCAGGCGAGAGTGCGATTCGTCCGGTGCGCGCGCAACCCTCTGCGGAGATTGTGCATGTCGAGTGCGCGAAATGCAGGCGAGAGCGCGATTTGTGAAATTACCACGCAACCCTCTGCGGAGATCGTGTGTGTTGAGTGCGCGAAATGCAGGCGAGAGCGCGATTTGTGAAATTACCGCGCAACCCTCTGCGGAGATCGTGCGTGTCGAGTGCGCGAAATGCAGGCGAGAGCGCGATTTGTGAAAGTACCGCGCAACCCTCTGCGGAGATGGTGCCTTTCTAGTACAACTTTAGTACGCGGAGCAATCTGTTGAGCTGGAAGCTGAGAACTGGCGACTTTGTAGTGCAACTTTAGTACGCGGAGTAGCCGGGGAGCTGGAAGATGAGAACTGGCGACTTGGTAGTGCAACGTTAGTACGCGGAGTAGCTCGGGAGTGGGAAGATGAGAACTGGCGACTCTGTAGTACAACGTTAGTACGCGGAGTAGCTGGGGAGTGGGAAGATGAGAACTGGCGACTCTGTAGTGCAACTTTAGTACGCGGACTAGCTGGGGAGCTGGAAGATGAGAACTGGCGACTTTGTAGTACAACGCGGAGCAATCTGTGGAGCTGGAAGCTGAGAACTGGCGACTTTGCAGTAGAACTTTAGTACGCGGAGTAGCTGTGGAGCTGGAAGCTGAGAACTGGCGAGTTTCTAGTACAACTTTAGCAGCGGAGCAAGCTGTGGAGCTGGAAGCTGAGAACTGGCGACTTTGTAGTACAACTTTAGTACGCGGAGTAGCTGGGGAGTGGGAAGATGAGAACTGGCGACTTGGTAGTACAACTTGAGTACGCGGAGTATCTAGGGAGCTGGAAGATGAGCGCTGGCGACTTTGTAGTACAACTGTAGTCCGCGGAGTAGCTGAGGAGCTGGAAGATGAGAACTGGCGACTTGGTAGTACAACTTTAGTACGCGGAGTATCTGGGGAGTGGCCAGATGAGAACTGGTGACTTGGTAGTACAACTTAGTACGCGGAGTATCTGGGGAGTGGCCAGATGAGAACTGGTGACTTGGTAGTACAATGACTTGGTAGTACAACTTTAGTACGCGGAGTATCCGGGGAGCTGCAAGATGAGAACTGGCGACTTGGTAGTACAACTTGAGTACGCGGAGTATCTGGGGAGTTGGAAGATGAGAACTGGCGACCTGGTAGTAGAACTTTAGTACGCGGAGCAATCTGTGGAGCTGGAAGATGAGAACTGGCGACTTTGTAGTACAACTTTAGTACGCTTCATGCCAGCTTGCTTTTTTAAGTGAGATTTTTTGTGGAGGCGTGCACGCTGCTTCTCTCCTTACGAGCAGCCCAAGTGCTCACGACGATGAGCTGGGCTGTCACCGCTTGGCCGCCGGTGGGGGGTTTGGGAGGCCTGCGCGCTAATTCGTTCACTATATGTACAGTGAAGACCTTCACCAGCAGCAGACATGGACATACACACACAGACAGGGACTCATACACACACACACATCACACACAGAGACCCACGCACTGCCTCAACTTACTCGGACACACACACAGACAGAGACTCATATACACACGGACATAGATACACACACACACAGAGACCCACACACTACCTCAACTCACTCGACTTAACACTTCACACTGCACACTTAACAGATAACTCGCACTCGGACTTCCTACGTGATGAAAATGCTTTCGGGCCACTCGTCGTCTAGTTGTTGAAGCACCAAGGAGGCAAACTTGTTTGGAAACTGCACGGGTCACATCCGCAGACACGTTCTTTAGGAGCTCGTGTCCTGGTCACAACGAGTCGACATGCTTTTGCGCTGCGCTCATTATACATTTTTTATCAGACATATGGTTTCTTATTGTGCCTTGGCAATGAATGCCTCGAGGCCCTTGGTTCTTGCAGCCTGGCGGTGCAAGCTGCTACGGGATGCTGCTGCAATGATGGTGGGCTTGGGCCTGGTGATTGCAGGCATGCAGGGCACAAAGGTGATGCAGGTGATGCAGTGTGGGAACTCGTGCTTGCCACATGACAGGTGGCTTTGGGAGGCCGTTGCACAGCATTGTGGGCTTGCTTTTTTTGGCCATCGGAATCAGGCGACGCCTGCAGTGACATGTGGTTTCATGCTCGCGCTGAATCGTTGGGGAGTGTAGCTGATTCAGGGGCCTTCCTGGTGGAGCTCCCTTTTTGGAGGTCAAGACAGAGGCAAGACCAAGTCAGAAAGGTGCTCTGGACCATTGTGCTGTAACTTAGGCAGGCTTTTATGCAGCTCGGCACGGGCGCTACGGGACGAGGAATGAACACATTTGCAAAGCCTTTGAGGTTGGGTCTTTTGGATTCAACACAGTCGAGCTGCTAGCTTAATCGGATTCAAATCTCCAAAGACAACTTTTAGCAATTGGGCGGTGATGCTTTGGCCTGCAGGGCTGGCTCAGCACACATGTTCCCTGCCCTTGGCAGAGATCTGGGGAGCTGTGCACGGTCTTGATGCGACCTCAGGGAGCCTCAGCGAGTTCAAGTCAGCGAGCTTTTGAAGATTTTGGAGTGCCAAACTTGGCATCAGACCCTCAGGCCCTACTTGCTCAACCAGAAGCGCTCTTCGGACCTGCTGCATTCTTAGATGAGCCGAGGTTGTATGGGCACGCTACTACCACCTACCCAAGGCCTTACGAGCGGTGCTGGCTCGAAGCCGAAGATGGGGAGCGATTTGCCTTCGACTGGGTCTTCCCTCCCACCGGTGGGGACTCCTATGAGGATGTTTGGAGTTTATTTGGAGATGCTTGGAGGCCTTTTTGATGTTCCAGAGCCGATTGGCACTGTTGGACCACTTTGGTGCTTCCCATTGGGCACCTTTTGCAGCCACAACTTTGAGGCTTTGATCCCCAGAGGCCGGTGTTGGTGCTCCTCACGGGCTTGGTACCTTGGCGATGTCACCTTGCGCTGTCTTGGTCGAGTTCCCCTGAGTAGCTTTATTGTTCCTAGTAGCTTTGTTGTTCCTAGTAGCGATGCCAGGAGCCCCTAGTAGCGTCCTTGCTCCTACAATCTCTCGATACCTTGATATATTGATAGGACCTTATTGCCTCTTTGATTGAAGTGCTTTGCCCATGACCAGAGGCTCCCAATCAGCACTGGACAGCAGCTGCTGGATTTATAGCAGATGCGGCACCTTGCATGCACTCATTATGTTGACACTTTCGAATTCTTAATAATGGAAATCTCAAGATATGTTTGCACCTTACCAGTAGCATCCCTTCGCGTCACATTTTTTGCTTCGGAAGGCATGGCACTTTACGCATCGTCTTACCCTTAGTGAGAGGAGGTATGGCGGTCAAGTCAGGATGAACTTGCTTACCTAGGTGCGAACATGACTGTTGTGGTTCTCGTTGCTCGAGGCCGGAGCAAAGAAGAGTGGAGTTTGTTCGTCAACACATTCCTCGAGTTTCTCGTTCAGGAACTATGGATACTCAAGTGAACAAGAACCTCTTCCATGGTGCACGTGTCACCGACCTCCGACAAATGTTGGAGTTCACGCAGCTTCGTTCAGCAGCGAAAGACTGCAAAATCGGTAGGGTTCCAAGACCACCAAACAGTACAACTTTTCAATGTTGGTCCAGTGATGAATCTCTCGATGAAAAACAAGTCAGTCCAGGAGATAAAGAATTGTACTGTAGTTGTCAAACAAATTATATAGTGTAGCTTAATTTTCCCTAAAAATCTAGAAACCAAATCATTAGCGTGAGCTATCCTGGTCCTAAGTAGTAGCTACTTGCAGGTAGTAGCTATCTCTCCCTACTAGCTACCTACCTCTAGAGGCCTACCCCCACCCAACAAAAGAAAGAAAAACATAACAAGACACGAAAAAAGGAACAGGGACAGACAGACTGATGACAGCTGATGACACGTTGCATTTGACGACGGACATCCAAGGCACTCGTCGCTGGAGAAATTCTCAGGCTGCCAATCTGTCCCATCGGTTCACATCGCTAGGAGTATGGGTTTGGAGACTAAAGTGGTTCTTTGCAGAGGTGTCATTCGGTTTTGGGAAGGCCAGTTGTTTTCAAATTCTGCCATGGAATTTTGGTACAATCAGGTTGTGGTAGGCATTGACTTGGTTTATTTGACTGCGCTGCCTACTTTGTGGAGAGATTGCTTTCGACCAAACGGGCTTGAACAATTGAACAAGGACCACCAAAACACAGAATTCCACAAAAGGCACCCTACTGGCAATTGTTTGTGCCTCTGCGTAGTGATAACGTGCCTCACATTCTCATGTGTAGGAAGTCTTGGGTTTGCACTCTCCCAGGCACCCAAGCTTGGATTTTTCTATCGCAGGCATCAAGCCGAAGATCTTTGCTGCAGGCTATTCGATGGGTGCCCTTGCTTGATTTTTTGAGCACTGAAGAACTGCTTTTCCTGCATAAGCTGGTTTCCTGGTCAAGTTGTCCAATTGTCATCTTCTGCAACCTGGAAAAGTTTAATCCAGAATTGAGTGAGACAGCCCATTGTGGTAGCATTGCGCATGGCTTCTGAAGATCCTTGGTGCCTTTCAAGGTGCTATCATTTTGGCAAACTACTGTGGTCACTATGACAAAGACCCGCTGATTGCTGGTGGCATCCATTTCTCAGGTTTGCATGATGCCGTGGCCAAGCTCAAATGAGATCATGCAAACTGCTAGGGCTGAAGTGTTTGTACGTGCTTTGAAGGTCAGCCCTCCTGCTGTTGTCTTGATGCAACTAAGCTTTACAGGGTTACATTTCGGCCTTGTTTTCAATGATCTTTGCTCTCAAAGCACCAGACTGCCAGACTGCAATGGACTGGACTTCCTCTTAGAACCAACAACACCTTGGGTGAGTATGTTGCCAGGCTTTCAACATGAACTTCAAGTACTCAGAGGAAACATGGCAGGCAGGGACAGAAGATGCTACACGAAGTCAGAACCGTTGTGACAGAGCTGTGTCCACACAGGATATCGCGCCTGTCGGCTCTTGGTTTGAATCCAGGAATGAAGCAAATGTGAAGCAATGTTGCAAGGCCTACTTGGCTTACAATCTCAAGTGGACGATTGCTGTTTCTGCCCAGGAGGAGGTGGGGTTTATTGTGCAGGCCTGCGCAATGGTATTGAAAAGAGGAGATATGAATTGAGTTCCTTTGACATTTTATTGCATGATGTACAGCATCATTACTAGTTTGCAGCTTTCAGGCTCAATTCTTATGACCAAAGGGCAGAAGAACCGGAGAATTGAAAGAATAGAATAGAGAGCGATAGTTTGATCCAAGATAAGATCAAACCTCATGGGGGGCCACCAGTTCCTAGGTTTGCTTCGCCAGTCTCAAGGGTTTGAGGTGCGCGGGCCCACAGAGCCTTTTCCGATGCAGTGCTCATGATCCTTCCTGTGCTTCTATTGCGAGGGCTAACGCAAGGTGGCGCATTTCCTTCGCATGCTTTTGACGTCAGGGCCCAACACCGGAGCACAATTGAATCGAATCATTGAATCATGCAGACATGGCTTCACTTAGACAGGGCACTTGATTCGCTTGAGTCACTTGATTATGTTGCGTGCATGCTTGCCTAAGGCGACGCATGAAGTGGGCCACAGGAGAGGGTAGATTGGATTCAGCTGTGACAAAGGAGTTGTGCAAGACGTGGCTATTGTTTTCTTGTGAGGCCTTTGCCCATGCTGCACGGGCGTGGCAGAATAACAAGCAAAACTCAAAGGCCTGGGGACTCAAAGCTTGGGTCGATGATTTCAAAGTGTTCAGAAAGTCTGCCAGGCGGCAAAGCCCTCAGCAAAAGTTGGGTGGACTGTCTCTTCCAACCAAGTTCCGTGACTGCATTACTTCATTGAAATCTTTGGTGAGAGCTCGGTGCCTTTCCGAATACAATGCTTGGCTTAGCTGAGTCAGTCCAAAGCAAGTTTTAATAGTGATCTGGTGACTGGTGGTTTTGTTTAGCTAGAAAAAAAGTCGCTTGTTGGGGTGTGCGAGGCAGATCAACTTCATTACGCTGCCTGACAGGGCCATCACGATGGGAAGTCTGGCCTTCATTGCAGGGGCAGTGGATGCTGTTTGCTACACGAAATATCGGTGTCACTTCCCTCAGCATTCAGACACTTTCACAATAGAATAGATTAAAACTTGCTGCCCGATATCAACACCCGGAGCACAACTGTGAGGCTACACCAACATGATGACAGGCAATAGTGCAGCTTGGCATAGTCTTCTGCTCTGTCCACCGGAACAATGCACTTCGAAGTACGCATGCTGTGCCACTATGCCACTACGCATCTTCAAGATGGTGTGATGGGCTCTTTTGTACGAAAGCACATAGTGCAGCGTATATGATCAATAACTGTGACGTTGTGGCTGCACCTCAAGCCTCAAGGGGTGCATGTGGAGCTGGGGCGCTGTCTTGGACGGAGCTGCCGTCCTCTCGTCCATCTCAGGATCCCTTTCCTGTCCGATCCATTGTCATCCATCAGCCATCCTTCCCTTCCTTGCTGGCTTAACCACTGGCATCGTGTTGGGCGTGTTGCTTGGATTTTGGATCTTTTGGACTTGCATTGCTCCTCTTTTCTCCTACCAGGTCCCTCACGAATCCTCCGTTCCCCGTCCGGGACCTCGAGCTCCTTCCAGGTGTTTGCACGCCTACGTGCATGAGTGATCAGCTTCAACTACAGCGTGATCTCCGCTCTTTGACGCAGGCGATACAAGAGCTCACTTTGGTCACCCGTGACCTTGTTGGGAGGAGGACTCAGAGTGTGGAGGAGGATCAGGGTTTGCAGAGGTCGTCACCTTCCGCTCCTACCTTTAGCAGCACATCTTGGGAGTTGGTTACTGACGGGGCACATATCCCCGGAGCCCCAGCTGATTTTCTGAAGAAGCCGGTGGTGATTGAGTTCGAGGAGGGTCCCCCAGAGACTCCAGAGTTCTGTTTGGATCTGGCCCGACGCCACCTTTCCTCATCAAAGGCATCTTCTGTTGATCGAGCTCGCGAAGCATTCAAGGCTGGTTTTTGGGCAAGGGCTTTTTGGACCTGCCATACTGAGCACTCAAGCACATATAAGCCTTTGGTTGCTGGATCTACTCAGTGGGTGCTTCGCAAAGGAACTGGTTTTGATTTGGTCAGGGTTGCAACTCAAGCAGATTGCGAGAGGCTGATCTGACATTGTTCTGTTGGACAAGCTACCCTCGCTTACAGAACTGCGTATCTATTGTGCAGGAGCTTCAGTGCCTGTGCCTCCACTATGGCGCTGGAGAAGCGATCAATAGTTTTTGCAGCCACCAGCACAGACCACTCTCTTCTTGTGCTCCATCTTGCGGAGGAGTTGACTGAGAGTGGCACCGAGCTTCAGATGTTTGCAGTTCCACTAGTTGCACGAAAGAAGGGAATGCTTCTCGCTATCCCTATGGGCCTTTTGAAGTCAAGCCTTATGTTCCCAGAGGGACCTATTGATGAGGAAGCCCTAGTTGGGCCATCTTGTGTGTTTGAGGTCGATATGATCCTTGAGGATGAGTTCACAGGAGCGTCATTATGAAATCATTGGCTGCCGGTTTCAAGGGTGAGGTGGCCGTTGTCGATTTCTCAAATGACATTCTTTCCGAATTCTTTCCTGTCTCAGGGACTACGATCCTGTGACCGATGCCACGGAGGAGGTATTGGGCATCCATGAGACAAATCCACAAGCAATTCGGGCAGCAGCAGAACTATTGGCTCTAGGGCTGAAAGCGAAACTGCAGCAAGGACACATTTTTACAGTGCTCGAGACGAGCCAGTTCACAAGGTGGCCGCAGTTCCCAAGAAGGCCGCTGCAAAACGTCTCACAACCGCTGTCTTGGCGGAACAGATATCCAGCCTCTCAGCCCAAGTTGCCCTTTTGGCAGCTGCTCTGCGGGGAAAGAAGAAAGGCGCGAGCCATTGTCAGTGGCTGGGACTCCCTCTGCCGCTCATGCCGCAGGGCTACAAGCCATCGCACCTTCAGGGATAGTTCCAAAGATGCCAGCAGTCTCGCTCGGCCTCCAGACTCCGGGTGAGACCAAGGCAGCGTCCAAGGCTCTTCAGTTGGTGGGGCCTTTTTCGAGGAATCGCGCATCTTCGATGACTTCTGGACTTGGTCTCGGCCTATTAGACGAGCCTTACGACCCAGTGAAAGCCCCTCCAGAGACTCAGGAGCAGATTCTCTCTCAGCAAGCGGTGGCACTCAATGCTCTCGTCTCCCATCTTGTCCAAGGAGGAGAAGGTCTCAGCTTCGATTATCACTCTGGAGGAGCAGGTTCGAGTTCCACAAGAGGCGCCATCAAAAGAGAGAAGCTTCAGCAAGATCTGGCCTCCAGACAATCCGGCTTCTTCCTTGCCCTACAGCAACAGATCTTCCGCAGGCTGAATCCGTCGGCCGTCCTCCCAAGAACACAGAAGGAGATCCAGAGGAGGTCGCCGTCTCTTCTGACTTATCTGGAGAGGTATGGAGGATTCCGCGGACAAAAGGAGGCTGGCCTCACGATGTGGGTGTTTGCACACGCTTTGGATGCAGCTGCAAGTGGCGACTTCTTTGCTACCAAAGAGTATTTGGCACTTGGAGTCATGGCCCTAGAACAAAGTGTTTTCGATGCGGGCGATTGGGGGCTGGCCTATGTTCTATCCCTCATCGAGGATCCCCCGCAGACCTTGTTTCAAGAGAAGATGCAGTCGATCACCTCAGCGGGCCGTCCTTTCTCACCATTGATCCCGCCGCAGCTTGCGTACTCCAGACTCGGAGGCAAGAGACAAAGACCAAGAAGGGACAGCCAGCAAGCGGCAAGGAGGAGGATTCGCGAAGCCCCAAGAGACGTCCAAAGTTCCCCAAGAAGCCCAAAGCCGGCGGAGAGGGGCAGCAGTGACTTCTTCAGCACCTATGAGGGAATTCAATTCCGGGCCTATGAAATCCTGGACTGCAAGTGATGCACATCGCTCCCCTTTGGTACCTGGGGTGGTCCCTGTGATCCTTCGCTGGGTCTCAGAGCCGGCCCAAGGTCGGGTTGAGCGGTCCGAAGCACAACAACATCCAGAGAGTCAGCTATCCGTTATAAGTTATGGTGTTCCAAGTTGACAACTTTGGTTTTGAGGACACGCGCAGCTTTTTCATCATATCTTTCTTCCTCCATTCGTATTTCGCGTGGCTCTTCACCGAGGGCCCCTTCTTCACCGACTTTGTTCCCTGTCCCACTGCCGGTTGAGGGTTGCTATGACAGGATGCCTACAAATGTTTCGAGCTCAAAGAGGAGGGCAGTTGGTTTTGCCAGGGCAGTTCATGCCGGCGGTTGCTTCAGTGGGCTGGATGTTTTGTGGAGAGACCCATCCCCTGTGCATCGTGCTTTGTGCAAGAGGATCAGGTCTTTTGTGAAGTCGGACGGCCTCACAGCAGTTTTTGATGCATTACGTGTTGGCCGACGGAATCCAGAGCTTTTTGCACGCCTGAGTGAGCTGACGGCTGTGTTGACTTCCTTGGGATGTTCAGCCTCACCTTACTCGAAAGTTTTCACAGGCTATGATGTCACCAAAGACCGTTCATTGTATCCAGAGCTGGAGCCTTACAGGGACCTTGATCCTTCACGACTTCTGCTATATGGCAAGGGGCAGTGGGACATCACAGATTTCCTGAGTGATGAACTGGTTATGGCCTATCGAGAACCAGAGAGCATCAAAGTTGATCGCACACCTGCTAGCTGGGAATATCCACGTATTCGAAAATCTGAAGAAACAGTCGCTCAGTTGGCTCTTCTTTGGGACAGGCATGGTTTGCTGCGTTTGCGCCGGGAAAGGGCCACATCGAGGCCCTCCTATGAACTTGTCAGAGTCTTCAACTGCTACAAAGCCAGTGATCGCGACCGACAAATTGGAGACCGCCGTGGTCGCAACGCAGTTGAAGGAGTGCTTCGTGGACCATCGTCAAATTTGCCAGCTGGTCAAGATCTGTGTGATCTTTACATTGACTTGAGTAGACAGAAGCTGCGCGTCTCTATCTCTGACAGGCGGGATTTTTATCATCAGCTATGGGTGACGAAGTCAAGGGCCATCACCAATACTTTGGGCCCCGGACTGCCACCGTCCCTGATTGAAGATTCTGCTG